CAAAGACAGTTTCCGTGGTCACGTGGCCAGCGCGACTAGGCATGGAACGCCGTGACCTTCCCACCGAGGTGGTCCCTATTTATCGACTCGCCTTTTTACATGCTCTCAAACAGCTAAGTTGGCAGGAGCTGGGACAAGTGACAGGAGCTTTCTCCGTTGCGTGGATTCGATCTTACGACGATGGGTCTTCCGACCTTGCAGCACAGAGGCTTCTGCGGTTTAACCCCCAGCGCCACCCACGTCCCCAAAGAATCATACTGAGAGATTTATGTATACTTTGGAACTGGGTGCCCTTGGGAGCGGGCTGCTGAATCAGTCTGAACATTTCAAGACACGCCTGGCTTCGTCTTCAATGGGTTCCCCTTTCAGATCTTGAATTTGATCTCTCTTCACAGTTACCCAGGTGCCCGGATCTCTCCGACCTCCAGAGTGAGATTTCCAGTGTCCTTATGAAAAATGAGAAGCTGCTGAAAGAGAGGGAAACCCTCAGTGAAGAGCTGAATCAGTGCATGGAGAAGGTGAGGGCTCTTCCCACGAGGTCCCAGGTCCACACCCTTCGCCTCGCTCGAGAGAAAAGGACTCCTTTTTTTCACCCAAGGAAACGGCCCCTGGGATTTTTCTGGTGCTCTTGTCATGGATCCCTTGGGCTTTAAAGCACTGGTCACCATAGCTTGAGATTCTTCCCAGATGACTGGTCTTCACAGACTAGAATAATAGAATCCTTAAATCATGGAGTGGGAAGGGCCCCTCGAAGGCCATCCAGTCCAACCCCCTGCTCAAGACAGGGATCCCAATCAAAGCAGGCTGGACAGAGGGTGGCCCAGTTTTGTCTTGAAGGCCCCCAACGTTGGAGCGCTCATCACCTCCCCTTGAGATCATGGGTTCCCTTGTCGTACTACTCTAACAGTTAAGAAGTTTATTCCTGGGATTCAGCCTGAATCTGGCTTCCCTTAACTTGAGCCCGTTATTGCGTGTCCTGCCCTCTGGGCTGACGGAGAACAGATCCTGCCCCTCCTCTTTACGAGGAGCATCTAGTTCCCTGATCCTCCTTGTTGTCCTCCTCCGAACTGCTCCAAGGGAGAGAGAAAGGTGTTTATACAGCAAATACAGCATGCAGATCAGCTCTCGTGCTTCCGGCTTCCCCGTCAGCCAGGGTAAAGATTGACTGAGGTTGACTCCTGCTTTGCGGGGGCCGTGGCCAAAGAGTCCCCCGGCTGGGCCTCTTGGTGTCAGTTCCCTTGTAGCCCTCGGTAGTGCCCCGAGCTGCGTTGGGCATCTGGGCCAAGCCACCTGATAGATCCTGACCCATGTGTTATTCTAGCATTTCCAGCCAGCCCGAGCCGTTGCAGGAAATTAGCTTGTGGCTAGAACGGGTGCATTTTGGGGCATGATCTGGAAATTTAAAAATGGTGAGGTGTGTCCCCAGGTGGGTGCATCCGTGGTGGCCCAAAGTAGCAGCCCAGGGGGGGTCAGAGGTTAATGTTATCCCTTCCTGGGGCTTTTCTCCCACTGTTGCAGGTGGCTAAAACGGCTTTCCTGGAGAATCTTGTGAGTTCTATGAAGCAGGAGAAAGCGTCCCTGGAGCACCACATGGCCGAATCCCAGGACAAGGTGCGCTTTTGTGTCTCCTTCAAAGGGGGTCCACTGTTAGAGATCCTGCTCTGCCCCCTGGAATGGATTGGGGAGGAGCCATACCCCTGCTCAGGCCATGAGGATCGGTTTCTTCTCTTGTTCAATGAGAATGCTTCGAAACCTGCAGCTTAGAATTTGAATTTACAGGGGAAAATAGGATGGGGGGGAAAAAACTCTCCTTAAAAACCACCCGTTTACTTGGGTTCTTTAAGACTGACTCTTTGCATCTCACAAATTGTTCATCCCACCGTTTATAAAAACAGGGCCAGGTTTAAAAGCAATGCAAGATATTGCTTATTCAAAAGATAACATCCCACTCAGTTTTTACACTGGTGTAAAGGAGTCGACATAAACTTGGTTGGTGGGTTCTTTCTTTCCTTCCTATTTTCTCATTTCCTTTCTTTCTCTTTCTTTCTTTCTTTCTTTCTTTCTTTCTTTCTTTCTTTCTTTCTTTCTTTCTTTCTTTCTTTCTTTCTTTCTTTCTTTCTTTCTTTCTTTCTTTCTTTCTTTCTTCCTTCCTTCTTTTCTATTTTCTCTCTTTCTATCTCTTTCTCTCTCTCTCTCTCTCTCTCTCTTTCTTTCCTTCCTTCCTTCTTTCTTTCTTTCTTTCCTATTTTATCATTTTCTTTCTTTCAATCTTTTTCTTTCTCTCTCTCTCACTCTCTTATTTTCTTTCATTCTTAATTATTTTCTTTCTTTCTTTCTCTTCCTTGCTTGCTTTCTTATTTCATTCATTCATTCATTCATTCATTCATTCATTCATTCATTCATTCATTCATTCTACCTTCTTTCTTTCTTTCTTTCTTTCTTTCTTTCTTTCTTTCTTTCTTTCTTTCTTTCTTTCTTTCTTTCTTTCTTTCTTTCTTTTTTTAATTTCGTTTACATGCCTTGCATATGTGGGCAAGTCAATTTTTGACCAATGTGGTCAAGTCAAACCGTTTCAGGGATTTCTAGGTAGGGGAGACTCAGAAGTGGTTTACTCTTTCACTTCTTTTGGAGTCATCCTGGGACTGTGCAGCTTGCCCGAGGCTACCTAGGCTGAATCTTCTGCATCTGGAGATGCACAGTGGGGAATCGAACTCCCAACCTCTGGCTGTATCCAGCCGGATGCCTAGCTCACTGAGCCATTTGCTCTTGTGCACCAAGCAATTTGCCAATGGGATTTATGCCAATTGCATAATGCCATTTGGTGTCACTAATAGGATTTGGCCACTCAGTAAAATAAACAAACAAACAGACAAACAAGATGTTTAAAAAGGAATTGTCTGTGTTCCTTGGAGTGTGCCATTACCTAATAATCTGTTGAGGGAGGATAGTGGTTGTTGCATCTCATGGAATGGGTTGTGATCCTCAAGAGCTTGTCCTGCAATAAGTTAGTCAACTTTTAAAGTCACAAAGGAGTCTCCTTTCTCCCATCTTTCTTCCAACGGATTTCAAGATGCTGCACACGGATGCCATCCCATTTTACTAATACAACAGCCCTTCCAGTAAGACAGTAGGATAGAAGAACCTTTGGAATGTCATTTATTCCATACAGTTCCCATAGGTCGGGAATCACTTCATGGCAGATGAGCCCCGTCCGCTCTTCGCCCGTGGCTCCCAACCACGGGAAGCTTCGTCCTCCTGTATTTCATCCTTGCTGGTTTAGAAGCCCGTTCAGAGACACCCCTTTTACTGATGGATTTCCACTTCCTTTCCCCTCTGGACCGCTCAGATTCAGAGTTTTGACGATGCCGTGCAGAACGTCAACCTCCAGATGTCCAGGCTCAGGTCGGATCTTCGGAGATCCCAGCAGGAGAAAGAAGCCGTGGAACAAGAGGTTGCGTCGTTACACCAGCAGCTGCAGACAGCCCATGAAAAGGTAGCCTTTGATTCGGTTTCGGGCAGTGGAACTGGAGAACAAAAACTAGCATCTCAGATATTCTTCTTTGTTTTGCTCTTACCATCAAGCTGTGTTTTTGCTTTCACTCGGGTCTGTCTTTTGTTTTCGCTTTTTTCTTGCAGCGCTTGGAAAAATTCCTTTTCAGGTTTGCAGCTCCTGGATCCTCCCTGAAGGATTCTGGGAGTTGTAGTCCAGCAAATTGTTGGAATTCTTTTGAAAGGCATAGCTTAGTGGTTTAGGAATCTGGCTAAAAGGTTGGGAGTTCAATTCCCATTTGATGCTTCATTGACAGAGGCTGGACTGGGATGACCCATAGGGTCCCTTCCAGCTCTGCAGTTCTACATTGATGGTGATGATTCTAAAACACCAGACACAGTCCATCAAAATTATAAAAACTTTGACTGGTATTATGTAACAGATACGAGTTTTAACTAGAAACCTAAATATTGGCGCAGTGTGTATGCTGTTCCTAATACTGCCATTTTTATAACTCTGATGGTGTGATTTCTGAGATCTGCAACTTATTTGTTGTTGTTTAGCTGTTAAGTCGTGTCCGACTCTTTGTGGCCCCATGGACCAGAGCATGCCAGGCCCTTCTGTCTTCCACTGTCTCCCAGAGTTTGGTCAAAGTGGTGTGGGTCACTTCTATGACCCTGTCCAACCATCTCATCCTCTGTCGTCCCCTTCTCCTCCTGCCTTCACTCTTTCCCAACATCAGGGTCTTTCCCAGGGAGTCTTCTCTTCTTATGAGTTTGCCAAAGTCTTAGAGCCTCAGCTTCAGGATCTGTCCTTCCAGGGAGCACTCAGGGTTGATTTCCTTCAGAACAGATAGGTTTGTTCTCCTTGCAGTCCAGGGGACTCTCAAGATAGAAGCCATCATTCTTGATTCTGCTTTTAAACCCTGCTGCCAGAATCATGGAAGAGGCTAATACACACCATTTTCAAGGTGTTTGTTCTTCTTGTTCTTCTTTGCGGATTGGATTTCTGTTTTATTTTGTCTTTCTAACAACCGTACTCTTTGGGGTAGTAAAAAATGACTTGTCCGTGCCATGAAACTCAGTCACGCCTTGAAGCAAGGCCCCTCGGCGCTCGGTCCCAGCGCCTTCGTGCCAGATCCGCGGAACGCCTTGAAGCCCCTCGGCGCTCGGTCCCAGCGCCTTCGTGCCAGATCCGCGGAAGCTCTGACGCCTGCGCTTCTCCTCCTCCCTCTTCAGAATCGGGTCCTGGAGGTGGCGGTGCATTGCATTCGGCTGCAGAGCCAGCAGAAGAAGCTATGCTGGGAGGAACTGGACCAACTGGTCAAGCAGGAG